TGATAACAAAGATCTTCCTCCCATTCTGCTTTTGGAAACTCTACGAACCGCGAGTAAACCTGCAGTCTGAGAGCGAAGTACTCTGCTAGAAAATATGGAACAATAAGATCTCAAATATAAGATGGAGCTAGGTTGTTGAGGGCTTTGTAGGTTAGAAGTAGGATTTTGAATTAAATTCTGGACTTGACAGGGAGCCAATGGAGAGAAGCTAAAACTGGAGATATGATCTCTCCCACTAACTACAGTTAAGACTCTGGCAGCAGCATTTTGGATCAACTGAAGACGTTTTAAAGAAGTATTTGGACACCCAGATAATAAACCATTGCAATAGTCCAGTCTAGACGTGACAAATGCATGGACCAGTTTTTCTGCATCAGTTTTAGACGAGATGTTTCTAATTTTATTGATATTACGTAGGTGGAAGAAAGCGTTTCTAGTAATGTTTTTAATTTGGGGGATAAAAGACATGTCCTGATCAAAAATAACACAGTGATCTTTAACATTAGAGCTGGAGGCCAGATTATTGCCATCCAAGAATAAATACATTTATGGAATCGTTTATTTTTGGACGTGCTAACAAGCTTAATGCACCAAAACGTTTAGCCTCGTCACAACCGGGAACTGCACGTCTCTCAAGTCTGTACGAGGACAGTACAGGAGGAAGATGAAGATAGCGATCAATGACTTCCTGATAGGATACTGTATTTTTATTTTTTTTTAAACCAGCCGTGTTACAGGCAGTGTTAAAAAAAAAAAAAAGTATTTATGCATGTTACTGGTACGTATTAAATTAAAAGTTTTAAAAAGCTTTGTGTAAATAGCTCATGAACAACGTGGACACCAGCAGCTTATAGACAAGCGTTGCCTATATATGTACTAAATGATATTTTTTAATTTAGAGGGCACAGCTTTTATTTGGCTGCGCTCAATAGTCTGGAAATTACGGTAGTTTGACTGTACATTTTAGACATGAGATAATATTTATGCTAATTAATAATTATTTATTCAAATAAAAGGTACAAAGTACATCTCCTTTGCTTAAGCCTCCTGCTGCCCTTGAGTTAAAATGACCCCTGAGGCCTGTTTCATGGGTCCATTTGACCCCAGGGGAGCAGGAGGATTTAAGATTGTTTCAACCGTTATGCTTTGTTGAACATGAGTAGAAGTGGTATTTTAACTGTGTAAGAAATGGTTTATTATTATTTTTAACTTCTTTCCTTCTGACTGAGTTCTTGTGAATTGTGATAATTTTAATGTTTTTCACAGATGTTTCAATTTAAAATACATTCAAGAAATCTGTTTTCCCAAAAAAACAGTAAAAAAAACAACAGACAAGCATTTCTCTTTTGGCAGCTGGTGATAATAATAAATCATTTATATAAAGTTTTTTATTTTTAATTCTAGGTTAAAACAAAGAGTTCAGAACTTGTTTCCTCTCTTTTCCTCCTCGATTGAGTCGACGGTCTTCACCTGAAGTTTCTGAGCTCCTGATCAGTAAAAAGTTCAGGAAGGAAAACAACTTTTCTCCTTCAGCCGTCGTCTCACGTTTCAAAACCAAACGTGAACAAACGCAACCTTCCTGCTCTCGGGTGTTCAGCCAAAACAGTCGGGCGTTTTTGTGAGAACACGGAAGGAAAACCCCCACAAATCGACATCATGTAATATTTTTAGACACTGAATAACTCGAGGTGGAAGTGAGGCGAGTGAAAGAATGTCTTTGGTGATTATGTAAACAAGAACGTCATTTAAATGATCTGAAATCGAGATAAGAAAATAAAAGCATCGCCTTTTGTAAACGACAGAAAAGGTTCAGCCTTTTTTCGGTCAAACTTTACAACAGCTGGTCATCAGTGAGTCATTTTTATCAGTTTAATTGATCCTGATTGAATCGACAGAAATCTGATCAGCTGCGAGTTTAGAGAATGAACGGAAAGACGTCTGACAGGCGGCAGCACAAACTGCTGATGGCCTCCAGGAACCTTCTCCACAGAAGCAAAGTGGTAACTACGGTTTTTCTTTGGACTCGGGTAATCCGAGTCACACACTGAAGTCATCCGGTCCACTCTGCAGTTTCTCTTGAGAGTAACTCGAATCTGAGTCTGCAGCATTTTTCTTGTTGATGACACTTGGGTTAAAATTAATTCAGTTCAGTTTATTTATATAGCACCAAATCACAACAAAGTTGTCTCAGGGCACTGGACAGAAATATTCACATAAAAGCCAATTAGTAAAGTTCTCTACCTAAGGATGGAAGCAGACAAGTTGAATCTTCACTTCGTCGCCGTCTCTAGTTCTGAGCAAGCACAGTGGCAACAGTGGAAAGGAAAAAGTCCCATTTAAAAGGAAGAAACCTCCAGAAGAACCAGCCTCAGGACAAGCGGCCATCTGTTTCGACCGGCTGGGTTTGAGAGGACAAGAAGGAGAGACAGACGAACACAGAGTGGCAGGTCCAGGTGTAGGTGCAGGTGAACCTGAAAGACAAAAACACGTCAGGATAGAAAAAATAATTATAAATACAAAACAGGTTGAGCAGAGCAAGTAAAGACAGTACCAGAGTGAAGAAATGTGGTCAGTTTGTCCCCCAGTAGTCTAAGCCTATAGCACCAAAACTAAGGGACAGCTCAGGAAAACCAAGCTGACCCTAACTATAGGATTTATTAAAAAGGAAAGTCTTAAAACTGGACAATGCGTCAGCCTCACGGACACAAACTGGAAGTTGGTTCCACAGGAGAGGAGCCTGATAAATGAAAGCTCTGCCTCCCATTCTGTTTTTTTGGAAACTCTAGGAACCGCAAGTAAACCTACAGTCTGAGAATGAAGCGCTCTGTTAGGAAAATATGGAACAACAAGATCTGTAATATAAGATGGAGCTCCAGTTAAGACTCTGGCAGCAGCATTTTGGATCCACTGAAGACGTTTTAAGGAAGTATTTGGACACTCAGATAATAAACCATTGCAACAGTCCAGTCTAGACGTGACAAATGCATGGACCAGTTTTTCTGCATAATTTTTGGACAAGATGTTTCTAATCTTAGTGAAATTACGCAGGTGGAAGAAGGCGGTTTTAGTAACATTTTAAATAAATCTCAGGAAGCCCAACATTTCACTAATCACATCAACTCTGGATAAATATATAAAATTCACACGAGAAGGTGTAAAAGATGGCAGGTTGGCTTTCTTGGACTGTGAGGTCTCAGTTTCTGATGGACTTTTGCAAACTGAGGTGTACCGTAGATCCACCCACACAGACCAGTATTTACAGTTTGACTCCCATCATCCTCTGGAGCAAAAGTTAGAAGTCATCAGCACTCTGTACCACAGAGCAGACAGCGTCTCCTCCAACTCGTAGGGTCCTGGAGCAATGTGGATATCCTAACTGGGCCTTCCTGAAAGCAGAGAAGAAACCCAAACAGGACTCCAGTCAGCCAACAGGTGAAAAGGAGGAACCCAGACCCAGACCAGTGGTCATTCCATATGTTGAGGGTGCATCAGAGAAACTGAGACGTTTATTTTCTAAACATAACGTCCCAGTGGCTTTTAAACCCTAAAATACATTAAAGACTGGTTCATCCCAAAGATCCAGTCCCCCGGCACAAACAGAATAATATTGTGTATGTTGTTCAGTGTCAGGAGGGTGATCAGTCTTACATCAGGGAAACTAAACAGCCACTGGCCAAAAGGATGGCCCAGCACAGAAGATCAACATCATCAGGCCAGGACTCTGCGGTCTACACTCATCTCCAGGCCAGCGGTCACTCTTTCAGGGATGAAGATGTTCACATCCTGGACAGAGAGGAACGATGGTTTGAGAGAGGAGTAAAGGAGGCCATCTTTGTGAAAAGAAATCGTCCATCATTAAACAGGGGTGGAGGCCTCCGGGTTCAACTGTCCCCCTCTTACAATGCTGTGATTGCTAGTATCACTCAGTCCTCTGTGAGTAGTAAACAGCCATCAGAGCACTAATGATCCATTGTTAGGCTGATGGTTCATGTGAACATTGTTGACAATATTGCAAGACTGTGGGAAGGGTTTAAAAATATTGTCCTATAAAGGTTTAATAATATATATATATATATGTATATGTGTGTGTGTACTAAAATAAACTTACTACCTACTACTTGTACTACTATTCCTACTTCGCTGTTTTTCACTTATCGCGGAGGAGCGGAGAACGGAAACCCCTGCGATAAACGAGGGATTACATCATTTCTTTCTTTTATTCTGATTTACTGAAGAATGTGAGGATGGCGCCCTCTTGTGGCTTTGTGTTGTCATTTATTCCATTTTTATTCCAAATTTATTCAATATTTTAGTGAATCTAAGGTTTGAGAACTGAGTTTCTTTACAAAATCCTAATGATGTTTTCGTCAAGGGTGCTGAGTTAAAATTAAGACGTGCTTGAGCCCCCACCCCCCCAAAAAAACTGTCTAAAATCACCACTGGCTCTGAAGTAGTTTTATACTATTTTTATTAATTAAATTATACTATCAAGCACATTTAATCACCAGGATTTTATCCAGCTGGAGAAATCTCTCAGAGAAACGATAAAACCCGTGAATTAAACTACATTTTTAAACATGAATGAGATGAAATTTAACAATAATTCTGGAGCATGTTCGGCTGTTAAGAGTTAATTTATCTGAGAATAAAAATAATCTGAGAAATCAGAAACGGCTGAAACAAAACGTCGTAATTCCTCCCAAAGTCCTGGAGACGTTTAAAAAAAAAACAAGGTAAAAAAGAGGTCTGTCCTCTGAGGGACGCTGGTTCAGGTTCAGGTCTGTCGTCTGAGGGACGCTGGTTCAGGTTCAGGTCTGTCGTCTGAGGGACGCTGGTTCAGGTTCAGGTCTGTCGTCTGAGGGACGCCGGTTCAGGTCTGT